TTTGTACAGAGGCCTGATAAGCTCAAACTTGGCTCCCAGTTGTTGAGATCTTACGTACGACTACGTGAAAGTTTTGGCGCGAAAGTTACTTGGGAGCCAGAAAACTAGGAGGTTGAATTTTTGATACAGTATCCACCATCCAAAGCTTGAAATTCAGTTTTCTCGTACGTTTGCTTTCATACTGTTATGTGAAATTTTTGATGGAAAATTTCGCAGTTTAGGAACCAAACAGCATATTCTGTTTTTTTTTTTTTTTCACAAACCAAATTGTAAAACACTGAAAATCCTTATGAGGCAAACGTCCTCTGATCGAAACTGCGCAAAACGCATGTTCTCACCGGCCGGCTACCATGGTGCGCGCCGCTATTTATTCTTTCAAACATTTTATCTACTTTCCTCTTCATCCAAAATTTTACAGCTGTTGTGCTGGCCTTTTTCTCTGGTTTGTTTGGCATAGACCGGTTAAAAAATTTTAAGGGACTCAGTTCATTGAGACTTCCCGAGAATAACGCGTCTTGCAGAATGCAGTGCGGCATAATTTGTCGTTACATAAGTGTTTTGCACGGGTGGAACAAAATGTGAAAGGTGCTGTATGGACCGTGGACGATTCTGAATTCTATCGACGACGGCCACAACGTGCTCATACGTCGAGAAGTACCCCTTCAACGCCGAAACCTGACAATCCGCTGAGTTTGCTATCGACGGCAGCGGCATCGGCTGCGAGTATGATAGTGGCCAACGATCGCTCAGAAAATATATTACTTCGGGATATTAAGCAAGAAGTGCTTGCTGCCGAAAATGTGACACCAAGTTCGCTGCAGACGTTTATCAAAGAAGAAGAATCGAGCCCGAAACTTGTAGTCGATGAGCAGTCTTAGCACCGTCGTATGTGCCTTTCATACTTGAGTATGTCAGTTTGTCTAATTCATTTCCGTTCCATTTTGTTCCTGCTCTCGGTGATAAAAATTTCAGAACACATTGGACATAAGTGTCGTCTTGTTATTCTTCTCTTACGTTGGTTAGCTGTAACCAGGCGTTTTTCAGGTGTTGCAGTAACTGGCAGAAGTTTGAATTAAAAACTGTGGAAAAGGTTATGTAAGTTGATAGAGAAGTTTTTCAAAAATCGTTTGAAGAATTTGTTTGTCGTTTGGTCTGTGGAGCTCAGATAACGTGTTAAAAGCTGAAATTCTTTGTGCTGGTTCTCGTTTTTTGGGCTACATATTTTCATGTTTTTAATTGTTTCTGTTTTTTGTTATTCACAGTCATCATATGCGGGCGCTGCTTTTGCAGTGTATACCAGTCTGCTAAATACCGGTCATCATTATTCACTAGTCTTGCTAGATATTAACATGCGAACTGTTTTCTGTAATTATTCCTCATAAGTGTGAACTCTGGAAATACCAGATAGTTACAGTTTTTTTAAGCTTAAACGGAAGTTGCTTTTAAAACTGTTGGGGCATGCGCACGACACTTTATTGTTCCTATGCGTTTTTGCTTGAGTCAAAGAAGAATGTGTCTGTGTTCGAGTGTCCCTCGCCTTTGAATAATTGAACTTGTGAACTGTGAAAGCTAGCAACTGAAATTCCAGGCACAGTCCGCAGTCATTTAGTCTGGCAGCGCAAGACTCACTATACTGTCTCTCGTTGATTCCTTGTTCGTCCAGACAGCAGGGGAAACATAAATCTGTAGTGAATAATGAAGCATCAATAAGATCTGCAAAAACTGGCGCGCATTCGCAAGTTAGCGCCGTGTACAATTTTACTTGCAAACATGTTAGGAGGTTGCAGCCGCCGAATGCAACATCATGCTATAAAAGTTTGTCACTGTCATTTTTGTGAAAGTTTCGGGTTGGAATGTTGAGAGCACGGTCGCCAACCATTTGCAAAGCAGAAAGTTTTTAAACGTTAGAGTAGTGTTAACTCTGTCCGGGAGGAGGAGCAGGCACACGGAAGTAACTCGGATGCCATTCTGTGCCGATAGCAACCACTTTAACTAAATCGTTGAAAGATATCTCTCTCGAGATTGCGTAGAAACTAGCTGATGTCGGCTCTGATTACCTGACAGGCGTCACTACTTATTTGCCGTCTGAACGGCTGAACAAATTGTAGAGGGATCAGGTGTCCTTTTGTGACGGATTCGAACTCTCGGTTTTAAACAGAGGGACGACGCATTTGTCATTGCGCCGTGCTCGCCTGTAGGATGAAAGTAAATTCATATTCAAGCCTGCGTAGATCATCTCAGTATAAATCTGTGTGTTAGCCTACGGGCAGTATAAGTACATTTTCTCCATGCGTATCCACTGCTCTCGCATGTGCAAATACAGTGTACTGTGAAACTGTGTGCCCAGAAAAATCATCGCAAAAAGGTATGGTGACACCGACCTCAGCTCACACTCATTTGTAATATTAAACTGATGTATGTGTGTGTGTGTGTGTGTGTGT